GTGTAGGCTCTACATTGGTAGGACTGCCAGTAGGGGTGTCGCGATACGCGAATGTATCGATACATCGATACATTTTTACTGACGATACGATACGCGATACATGCTTGCGTGTATCGATTCCTATTTTAAAACTTTATCGATTCAAATTTTTATGCTGTATCCATCTCCGTCAAAGTCTTGATAGTAAAATTATACCAGACCGCTCCGATAAATAGATGTAGCTAGCTTTACTTAAAAAATAGGTTGGAAACTAACAGCTTTTGTGATTGGCTAGGCTATTTTGATGGACCAGTCAGCGAACGCGTACGTTGCCGGTAAGGTAATGCTATGAAAAGGCGCGATAGTTATGTATCGCGATACGTATCGTATCGTGACCTTAAAATCGTGATACGTATCGTATCGTGAGATTGGTGTATCGTGACACCCCTAACTGCCAGACCTTTGTGCGGACGTCGTAGTCATGCTGGAATCTTCGTGTAAGCTTCGCAGATTGTTGGTTCCCACAGGACGTGATGTGCAGGTCGGTTGTCCTTCACGCAGGTCGGTTGTCCTTCACGCAGGTTCGTAGACAATGGAGTCTTCGTCGCAGCTCTCTCTTGTGCGAACCGTTGTTCCATCAAGTCCAACATCTGTTGGGTGAATTGCTGCATAAAGGAGCCCAGGTTGAAGCTCTGCGTTGTCTGATGCTGCAGTGATGACACATTTGAGAGGGACGAGGCTTCCTCCAAAGGGCGCTGTACCTCTCTGGAGCCTGGTGTCTGCGTTGATAGGTTGTCCTGCGTGATCACGGTAGAAGATGCCCTCGTCTTCTTCTTAGTCATGATCTCAGGGATGAGGATGGGAGGCTCATCGTAGACATCTACTTCCTCAGGAGGGACGATCTCAGCTGAAAAGGGCCTCGTTTTCTGCGTTGCCACTTCGACGAAGTCTTAGATACAGCTGACTTCTTCCTCTGGGAAGACGATGCCTTAGTCTTCTTGGACTGCGATGAGGAATTATCAGATGTAGATGATCTCTTCCTCGAGCCAGAGCTGTTGTCTATGACTGCAACATCCTCCGCTGACGACCCTGGTAGACCACTGGGATGGTGAATCTGTGCAGACACCAACTGCCGGTCCTCTGCAAGCTTAGCCGGTTTAGACATGTCATGTAAATCTTGTCTGGACTTGTCCCTTGCACGTCTAAACAGATAATATGCATATTTATACAATTCAATTTCAGACAGGCGAAAACAACTGACAATGAGAGCCCAGGGATAAATCTACCCCCGCGTCCCGCGTCTCTGACGCAATAAATTCTGACGGGACTCATATATTTTTTACATGTGCGTCCTCCTGGACGCAAGCTTTTGATGAAACAGTAATGTTTATTTTTGTGGACAGGCAATATCAAAGTACACATGACTAAATCTTCGTAGATTAACTTCCATTCTCAAATAATTGACGTGAGCTAATAAGTACACATTATTTTTAAAACGATCGCAGCTTTCATTCGTCATGATATAAAGTTCATTTCCGCGATTCCAAAAATAGACATCTAGGTCACACCAAGGGAGGTAAGCGGTATGCAAATGAGATCCCAAGATTCATTGCTCGAGCATGTGCAAAACTACTAACCTAGTTTTTACACACTATAAATAGACACAAACATGCTAAGGGAGGTAAGTGATATGCAAATGAGGTTTTTCAAGACAAACTGATTGGTCAATGAACATTGTGACTCGGAATCCACAGTGTGAAGACAAAATCTGAGCTCTCAGTACCAGTTAGAGAAAAGCAGGAAGCTTTAGTCAGTCTGCATGTAATTTAAAAGTGAAGTGACATTTGACAGGGTTAAAGTTCTGCTGAAATAGAATGTCATTCTGAATCTCAAGTCCTTGAAAAGTAATAATATAAATGAATCATTTCATTTATAATTATGATGACATTTATGATATAATTCATTCAATGTTAATAGTTAAAGGTCACATGCAACGTAAAACACAACTTTGCAGATTCTGATACCTTTCGGTATGGACTTACCGAAACAAAGCGTCAAAAATGCAAATTCAACTTATAAAGTTGAAAAATAACGCGATGAAAAAAAACGCGCGAAATCGGAGTTCAAACGTTTCACTTATCTTCCCCAGACTTTTCTGGGGAATACGGGTTTCAACAGCTGGGCTGCGCTCATAGCACGTGCGCAGTGAAAAAGGTTCGCGCAACTTGGAAGCGGGCTGTCTGGTGAATACCCGGTGAAGGCTTTGGTGTGAGCTATTTTCATAATGTTTTGTTGATATCTCACAGGCGCGAGCTTTTTATATGTTATGACGGTAAATAAACTGTTTATATAATTTCATTTGTCTATTTCACCACACGTTCTTCTTACCGAGTCACTTTCTCAGTTCGATACTTAAAAGCAATGTCATTATTTAGCGTTGACACAATTTCTAACTGTGATATAGATATGTCGCTGTCACAGACAAAACTCAATATCTTGTTTTATTGACACCTGTGTGTCTGCCTGCCTGTCTGCTAATGACAATATTCAATACACAACTGCGATCACTGACCACATGCAATTTGAACTTAACACCAATCAGGCTATACACCATAAACAAAACGCATTGATTTATGGCCCGAGTTCGGTCTCTGTCACATTATGTAATTACACAGACAGGAAGGTGTGATACTTGAATACATGACATGTTGTGATGTCTGTTGATTGCAAAATGTTATACACAAAATATGAGCATGTATTTACAAAACCAAACATCTCTATATATACACACACAATGAGCCGTGTAGACGGCATCTGCTAATGAACCAGCCGTTACACTTGAGTGCACACCCACCCGCTCTGACTGGGTTCGGTATCCCGGCTGCTTCGTTTCGAGGGAGGTAAACCCAAGTACAAAATATTGCACTTTTGATTTGCGATTATACGCTTATAATTTTGTTTATTTGTTTTTTCATAATCAGCAATGCATATTATATGTCATGAAGAAGTGATAATTGTGTTTTAATTATGTTTGATTTTTTTGGTTGCATGTGACCTTTAAAGTAAGACAGTTACTATTTGTGTTCATACTTGTTAAAGTGGCTTCCAGTTGGCATATTTCTTTTGATGTAATTTGTTTTTGAATCACTGAACAGAGTGAAAAAAAACAACCAAACTTTGTTTGGAATTGAAGAACTTCATTCACCAAATATTACAGTGAAGTTACATGGGTCTGGCTAGTAACTCTTTTATTTTTCTAGTAAAAGAAAACTTTTGCTTGTCAAAGGTCATGTAGAGCCCTGCTGTTATTTTTAAAATATAGCAGTCGACATGCCGCCCAGATAGATACTGTCAGAAAACAAAAATTTAGGATATTTCAGTCAGGTTAGCTGAATACTCATCGGTTATGGCTGACTTATGACAGGGAAGGTGATTTCATATTTTGTAAACTTTGCACTGACAATGGTATCATACAAGATGCTAAATGCAGAATTTTTTTAAAATATAACTTTGACCAGACATCTCATCATAATGATAATAAACTGCTCCAAAACTTTGTGATGATTTCCAGGTTGCAACTGCACGTATGTATGAAAAACAAGACAAAGCAGCTGTCCCCTTGATGAAATCTGTTCATTGGTTAGCTTGTAAAAACATCCCACTGACAAAGTTTAAACGTTTTGTTGACTTTTTATATGAATTTGAAAACGAAGACGTTGGAATTCTCAAGGAGGGTAAAATCAACTATGATTCTCCAACCACTGCCAGTGATCTGTTAACATCTGTGTCTGATGTGATAGAGTATGAACTACAAGTTAAAATGGAAGAGTCTCCATTTGTTACGACTTAGGTACTACCGGCTCTGTTCTGTGAAATATTCCAGACCGGTCAGACTCACCTGTGCAACCTATAGTAACAATAAACCAGTTTGAATAATATTTGTGGCATTAATTTTTGTTAGGGACTCATAAAAGTTCTGAGGGACTCATAGTTATTCAGCTCAGTGAGTCCCGGGACTCAGGCAGTTGAATTTGTAGATTTATCACTGGAGCCAGATGAACATGCGGGCTTGCAATTAGGACATAGTTTATGTGGATCAACAGCAGACAATCTGTACCTGCAACGAGTGCAAGATTTCATCAATTGAAACCAATCTGAACAATCACGTAAAAAAGTGACAAAACAGAGAAAATTGAGAAATAATTTCAAACATATTGTTGGTAAATGTTTCCTAAAGCCTTATACAGCTAATTTAGAAGTACAGCCTAAATAGGAAAAGGATATAATGCCGTATAGGGGACCCAGGCGCTCTCACAACTGTCCACTCGGGCGAATCAGGAGAGAGTGGGGAGCATGGGTGACAGGTGGCGCTGTTTCCCGCCAAAACTTTTGGAAGGGAGATGACTCCTGGTAAGGGATTTTATGTCCGCTTTTTTGAAGGGAGCTTCAAAAGGGGGATTCAAGTGTTCCACTAGCATTCGGAAGGAAAGGGAGACAAGCAATTAGCATGAGTCAGGATAAGGAAAAATATAATACTTTCAAACATGAGCGTGCCAAAACAACAGAGATATTTATCACAATAAAGATGCTTATCATCTTTTAAAAAATATGCTCAAATGTTTGATAAACACAGTGAATGTACCCTGTTTCTCCCTACCTTGCAAACGACCGCCTTCGTGGTGTAGTGGTAAGAGCGTCCGCCCGGAGAGCGGAAGGTCACGGGTTCAATCCCCGACCGCGTCATACCAAAAGACGTTACAATATGGTACTTGTTGGTCCCTGCCTGGCGCTCTGCATGAATGAGTACAACAAGGACTGGTCGGCTCGGAGTCAGTATAATGTGTCTGAGTTGGGTACCCATACTTCACTGCGGCATGGTGTCTCAGTGGGCTAGCACTATAAAACCAGCTTAAGTCTGGGCTAGTACAAGCAGCCGCACATACACACACACGCATGCACACGTTGTCATATGAGCGAAATATCCTCAAGCACGACGTTAAATCCAATTTCACCCCACCTACCTTGCAAACATCTCCAGATCGTGTGAATAGGTATCAAACTGTCTCCACGTTGTCTCTGCAATGCAGGCCATCACTTGCTTGTTGATGGAGACATCCAGGTCATCACCAACCTCCCGACATATCCTCACCACAGTATAATGTACTGCCGCTTTCAGCCTCTGAAATAACAGCAGGAATTAACAGAGAATCTTGACACAGTAGAAAGCAGTGACATTCAGTGTACCTGAACTTTGCTCGTAATATTTTGCTGTACCTGATCATAACTGAGGTCATCCACATTTTCATCTCGTACATTCATTTTCAGTAAATATTATCGAACTCTCCCTGGATTCTCTTCTCTCAGCTTGAAACGTCAATCAAAAGTGCCCGCCATTAGTGTAGATGGTTGATATGAAATTGTGGACTTGATTCAATTACGAATTAAGATTCTCTTGCAATAAACCTTTATTCTACAAATGTGCTAAATGTGTTTCTCGTCAGAATAAGTTCTGTATCTAGACAAAGGCGGCTCATCTCTCTGCTTGCACTGTGGATTATCATCGAGTTAACGTTAGATTTACGTATGTTGAATTCAAGAACGGATACAATGTTCCGGGTTTACTTTCAGAAATGATCATACAAAATAACATAAATTAAAATTAAAACATAAATAAAATACTTCACAGTTAATAAGAACGAACACTCAGCAATGTCCCATCGATATGTCAGCGGTCTGTTAGTAGTCGAGTCTGGGCCAGAAAATCAAGTGCTTGACAGCAAGTGCACCAATCTTGGCACGCAATGAAATGCATCAACCAGGTCAATTCCGTTAGTCGCCCCTCAGGGGGTCAGAACAGGCATGAGTTGCTGTTTTCACCGGTTGCAACGAGCCGAATTAACAGTACATAACTACATTTAAATACGACCGCCTCCGTGGTGTAGTGGTTAGAGCGTCCGCCCGGAGAGCGGAAGGTCGCGGGTTCAATCCCCGACCGCGTCATACCAAAAAGACGTGAAAATATGGTACTTGTTGGTCCCTGTCTGGCGCTCGGCATTAATGGGTACAACAAGGTCTGGTAAGCTCGGAGTCAGTATAATGTGTCTGAGTGGGGTATTCATGCTTCACTGCGGCATGGTGTCTCAGTGGGCTAGTACTATAAAACCAGCTTAAGTCTGGGGTAGTACAAGCAGCCGCACATACACAGTCACACATACACAGGCATGCACGTCGTCATATGAGCGAAATATTCTAAAGCACGACGTAAAAAAACCAATTTCACCTCACCTCACATTTAAATACTGTATGCCTGTTGTCTGTTGAAAGCGTTGTCTCAGGAAGGTACCGCAACCTTACTTATCAATCTTACCTTAGACACTTAGTCTCTGGAATAAAATTATCTTCTGACATTAATAAAAGTATGTAGGATAACTAGATTTAGCTGTTGGATTTAGAGCTGGAAGCTACAGGCGTCGCCAACCTCTTTAACTAACATGAAGTAGTAGTCTGTGATACTTTATCGGAATAAACGATCTGATATAAATGATATTGAATGTCACCATTGCCATGTGAATTCTATACTTTACTTCTCGCAGATGATAGACATGTTGAGATTGTTCGGGGCATTTTGTAGCTGGGACAATTCGACTGGTACCCGTTTCGATAGCACAAGAAAATAAACACACACTAACAAATACCCTGGAAATGACATCTTTTCGAGATGGTGGTCAGAAACTACAGGATGTATTAGGCAATCACAACAATACTGACTGACTGACTGAGTTTGGTTTTACGCCGCTTTTAGCAATATTCCAGCTACATCAAGGCGGGGGAACACTAGAAATTGGCTTCACACATTGTACCCATGTGGGGATTCGAACCCGGGTCTTCGGCATGACGAGCCAACGCTTTAACCACTAGGCTACCCCACCGCCCCAAATCACAACAATATAATAGTGGGGCTTTATTCTTTTGTATCCGGAACTTGCGTTCGATTTCGAGACACAGAATGATTGTCTGAACGTTTTGTTCAGTTGGAAATTTATCAGCCTAGCTGATTACGAAATTCGACTGACGCAAGATCCTATGAGATGTCGTCAGATTCATCCTTACGGAGTAAAATACATTCATTTTATTAGACTGAACCAATCAGATCAACGAATAATAACACTAAAACCATGTGAATATCCTGACACATACACATGACAGGTATACACCACCCTTGTAGGGCTGGGACGGGTACTCGGGTATTCGAATCCGGGTCGGGTATAGCTGGAGTCGAGTCCTATTTCTAGGAATCGAATATCCGGAAAGGGAGAGAGCACTCTGTAATGACAAGGGCAGACAATAGCTTGTCTTTTTCATGATTGACGTAGCACTCATTTGCATCATTGGTATTGTCTGATTAATAGAGGTTATTATTAACGACTATAATATATCTGCGCATGAGCAGTGAGTAGTCAAGTTACAGTAACAGCAGGAGCGAAAAGTTCAATCTGTGTTTTAAGGAGGAATGTAAATAATGGTGTTACTCTCTATATTGTTTAAACAAACGCAAATTACATAGCTTAATTTCAGTTTCAGTGTCCTTTTGCTATCATTTCAAGTTTTCTTGAAAAATGTCTGTCAACTCGTGATTGAATATTCAGAAAGTTGACAGAAGCGCTTTATTCCTTACATTTCCGGGTACTCGATTCCGATTCGGGTAAGTACATGCGGGTATTCGATTCCAATTTTTTCCTACCCGTCCCAGCCCTAGACCCTTGAGTTCAATCATCTGGTGATTATACACTCGTTTTGGAAACATAGAGAAATTAGAGGTCTTAACAGATTCCTCTTTGGTCCTGGAAAAATAGGTACGATAGAAGTTTTATACATTCATAACACCATTCCCCGTGATCATTATAAAGGCTTGAATCCATATGCCCATAAAAGATATTTCATTATGCACAGCGACCTAAGTAATGTGTTATCATGGCAAGCATGACGAGCCAATTTTTTCAATTAGAATTGTATCAATTTGCCCACTTTTATCCAGTTCATGTTTATAATACTTATTCGGGCCATTTATTCTCTTACATTCGAGAGCATTAACCCGAAACAACATGCCATTATCAATATATCTACAGAGGACAGTGGATTTACTTCATTCTTCCTGTTAATGAACCGGTGTTTCAGCTACAGCTAGTCTGCTCTTTGTTCGTTTCCTTTATGAGTTCACTTTTCGAAACATTGCCTCAATCTCGCGTGTACTTTCGAGAGTTCATTACATCATGGATGCTTACAAGGTATATACAGCATGTGTTTTGCATCATTTTAATGATTTCCATGTTTATTCACAATGCTATGTCAACGAAGGACCCATGCCACGGTCACACTTTCAGTCGGTCACATCTGTGATAGCCTTTACTTTACTTTTTTTCCACTGTAATCAAGGAATAACCGCATGTCCTTTACGCCTAGTGAATGTCATTCTACGAATCAGATTCGGTTTGTGTCTGAACGTTTTGTTGTTGGGGATTTAAAGGATCTGCGATATGTAGTTTTAGAATCACACTGTCTCTCACTATTCAATGGCATCGATTTTGTGTCATGAATGATTGTTAAGGACTATTCACTATTTTTGTTTCTGAAACGGTGAAAGACGGGGAAAGGCACCATCAGAACGAGATCATTTAAATAAACTCGCAACCATCCAAGTATTTTAAAACAAAATTAAATCATAATACATTCTGAAGATTGGTTTAGTTGCATGCCAAGTATAAACCCGTTTATGTTATTGATCATTAATTATATTACATAACACGGAGGAATCAGCTATTATCATTGGACCTGTATGCATGATGGATATGATTTACTGGTCTCGAAAAAGTTGATTTGGTCAGTACAGACAAGCAGATTTGATATCTTTTTTTTTAATCAAGTACTCCTTTGTGGTCCTTAGGCCAAGCCACCTTATGGTAAAGCAATAGCAAGTTTCTTGCTGAAAACGGCTACAGGGCAGGTGAAATAGTCATTGGGCGCAGATCACTTTGTAAACAGGAACTAAATGTTTGTGATAGCTCTGGAGGTAAAGTGTTGGCTCATAAGATTAAGCCACTGGAAACATGTACTAGGTAAAGATCACTACTTTTACACACCAGTGGTTAGGTTCCTTTTGATTGGTCATGAATATCATAAGATGTTTGTATTAAAAATACTGAGACTTCAGAACAATATGATGTATGGGCTGATTTGGAGATACTTATACTATAAAACAGTTACTTTCCATTGTGATATACTGTTCCTGTCTGCGGAATTGTGTCTCTTTGATATGCCCAAACCTGGTGATCACTACTTTGAATCTGAGCCCAGATGGTTTTTAAGTACAATATTTAGGTGTTTTAACCAAACATAAATATTCAAGACCTTACTTTTGCTCCAAGATAATTCTGACACTCAGATATATCTGAAAGACTGTTGAAAGTGGCTTTAAACCACACCACTCACTCTTGCAACTGACTCTTAGTCTTAAGCTAACTACAGTATTCTGATATAACTGAATTACTATTCAAAGTGAATCATTGTGCTGCCAGTGAGTTCATGGCATTAATGATAAAATTGGCCGTCTGTGAAGTTATTTTTTGACTTATTTGTATGTCATGTTTATAGGAATTAACTTCACTACTATGTATTTATTGAGGTATAAACATTCTTATTGCCCTCTGTGCAGAATCACAATCTGTATCACGCCTAATGTTTACACATTCATAAATGCAAGAAGTATTGAAGTCATATCTCAATAAGTCCACTCATTACATTTAACCACTAGTTTAGTTTATGACATAGCCTTGAAGGTTGTCCTTTTCTTTCACAGGTTGAAACCTGACGGACCATTTAAACAGACCACAAAGATTTGTTGGACGCAATCTGTAACTGTGTCAATGGTTGCCGGAGAGTAGAAATGTCTGGAGTAGTACGTAGAATGGAAGAAGTCGATCAGAGGGGGCAGGGGGATATTGGGGGGAGTGCTAGGAACATGGGAAATGGAGGACACAACCAGCGCTCACATTTACAGTTTTTTGGTCAAGCCAAGAAACAGATCAATGACATCTTCAAAGAGATTGGAGAATATGTTCAAGAGACAGACAAGTTTGTTGATGGTGAGTGAATAACGAACAATTCTTAAGAAAATTAATCATAATCATCTAACTAACATGATGAATATGATTGAATAAGTTTGAAAATATGCATGTTTGTCTTACTCATGTAAACCCCAGTATGCCCCTGTTATGTTGATGTCAAGATCCATTTGTAATGATTGAGGGTGAAACAGTATCTGAAACTCTCCAACACAGTGTTACTTAGCTTTTGATGTGATATGTGGGTAACTATGACTCCAGAGCTACAGATAACTTTTGGGGTCATTGAGTTATGTACTCGCTTGTGTTAAAATATAACAAAGTATAAATGGTATTTATATTGCATCTGTAATATGAGAAACGATAAGAAAGACTGCATGTTACCATGTTCATGTGTTGAAATAGAACCTCTCAATTTACCTCAGTTATTTTATCTATGCACCGGTACGCAAGCTAAGATTTGACATCTTTGTGTGTACGCACGTAAGGTCAAACGTATTGAGTATTTACAAAACTTCAAGCGTACTTGTACGCAACTGACTTAATGAGAATTGAGTTTTCACATAAATATTTGCGTAATTTAAGCAGATACGCAGCTTATCTGTACCTCTGGACTCAGTTAACATGGTTAAAGATCACATATACTCTAGAGGGGGTACATACATAAATCATTTATTGGAATTATAATAAATGAAACCCCGTCATTTAAACTACTCATTTCGACATTTAATTAACTTTTATTGCCTTTTTTGACAACAGTGCACAATACTCGCCCGCGAACGAAATTTCGACCGATCAGAGGGGCCCGTCTGTTAGGTAATGTTAGGTATACATATCAGGGGCAATGTAGGATTCATGTACATTTCCGAGGGTAGATTACCTTGTTTACAGTTTTGTCTAAACCTGAAATCGTGACAATTGTTGTGAATAATGAAAGCTTTATGTTTTCACAATATACTGTCAGTTAATCTTGTCACCTGCTTTGCCTAGCTTCTGAGTTACAACTTGTTTTCATAGACGGTTCTGTCAAAATCACAGTAGGACATTAGGAAGGCTGGATGCCCATCAGATGCCGTTATTTGAAAATATCCCTGGTACTTGGCTGATTGTAATAAACATGATAAAGTATCCCAACATTGTAGGATTTTCAGATTTTCTAATGCTTGGATGATATAATGACTGATCCAATTTGATCTTATTTCTTTGTTTTTACCTCGATATTTAATCATGTTATGTAAAAATATGATGTCTATTTCCTGCTATGATATTAAAAACACACATTTGATGTATTTGAATCTGTAAACTAAAGACCGCCTCCGTGGTGTAGTGGTTAGGGCGTCCGCCCGGAGAGCGTCATACCAAAAGACGTTAAAATATGGTACTTGTTGGTCCCTGTCTGGTGCTCGCCATTAATGGGTACAACAAGGACTGGTCGGCACGGAGTCAGTATAATGTTGTCTGAGTGGGGTATTCATGCTTCACTGCGGCATGGTATCTCAGTGGGCTAGCACTATAAAACCAGCTTAAGCCTGGGCTAGTAGAAGCAGCCGCACATACACACACATGCACGTTGTCATATGAACGAAATATTCTAAAGCACGACGTAGAACCCAATTTCACCTCACCTCACCTGTAAACTAAACAACCCCATTTTGCCATTGTTAGAAAAATCTGAAAATTTACTTGGGTAAATAGGTAATAATAATTTTTAAATAACTACATAGCAAATGCTTATGCAATAAGGATGTTCTGTTCGTATCCTCAAAACAGTCTCGGCCCATGATTTTTTCTCAGGCAATCAAACTTGCAATACAGCGATTACTACTCTCTTGCTGTAACCCTTGTTTGGAGGTAAACCTACACATGTTATTTGTAATCATTCACTTGATGGTCAGTTAATAATGAATTTATAACAGGTGTGATTAGTGGCAACACCACTCAGATTACCCGACAATGATTCCCATTTGTCATTTCTCGTGTCTAGAATAAATACTCATCATTATAAATTGAGGTCTGATGTGGCAAATGTATTACATCTTATGTAATATGCACATTGAAGTGCAGCAAGAGGAATTATCGGCTGAGTTACAAAAACAAACATCGATCAAAGGATTAACCGATAACATGCGGTTGATTAATTGCTTTTATCTTGCACAGCGGATTTGTTAATAGGTAGTGTTTATGTATGTGTATTTACTAATCTATTTGAATACACCCTGTCGTAAAGTGTCTGTGTAAAAACGTTAACATCCTTCTTTCAAAGGATTAACAGCCAATAGATTGATTGATTGCTCATTATTGGCTAACTAAATTACTTTTTATAAGAATGGCGGACATCATGCAAGTGGTTGCCAGGTGTGCTATCTTTGGTGACCAATGGGTGACCAATGGGACTATACACCAATGTGAAAAACCTGAAACGATAGATCACTTTTTCATATATTAGACTGTTAAAAGACACATGACATGAAATAAGATTATTTGTCAGCTGCAGATGAATGACATATTATTCTTTTATGTGGATATTGATGGATATTGTCACTTCGACCCACACCTTGCTTCCGTGGAAGAAATCGTTATGTTACAAGTTCTGTCATGCAAAATCCTTTTGGTCATGATTCATACAGATATCTAACTACGAGTATAAAGTACTTTTGATTTTCTAACTTGATGAAAACAAACCATTTTCTCATTGATTCTCAAGCAGACTTTAGCCGTGACGTCACAATTTTTAAAAATGGCGGCGTCCTGTCGCGAACATCCGCCAGTCTGAGAATAAATGCTATTTAGGTTCTTTTTTTTACACCGATCAAAACTACTTTCTACTGGTAGTGAAATATGTATCTGATTGATGACCAATAGGACTTCGCATGACATACCTTATAACATTACAATTTCTCTCTTGGAAGGGAGGTGGGTGTCAATATAATACTACTAACAATATTATTGGGACGTCGACCACAACCTCGCTTCTGAGGAAGAAATCGTTATGATACAAGTTGTGTCATGCAAAATCCTTTTGGTCATCAGTCATATACATATTTTACTACAACTAGTAGTAAGTACGTAGTTTTGATTTGTAACTTCCGTGAAGTGATGATCAGATCTGAAAACACCAGTAAGATATCGTTCCAGGCTTCCAGAACGCTCGCTTCACACTCACAAACATAACCCATTTAGTGTATCTTTAACATGTTTAAAATGACAGTTCATGTCCGCCTTAGTATGCCAAGTAGTGTCTACACCAGCAGCCCTCCAATCCGGCATGCTCTCAATATCGGCACTAGAATTTGGTCCCGGTAGAAGCTAATTTATGTTCATAAACCGCCCTCTATACCGACATTGTGTGCCGGCCCCAACAAATGTCCGTTTAGAAGGCTTCCACTGTATTTATATTTTATTTAATCTTCATCTACCTTGAACTACTTGACACTGGAAAATAGTTGTGTTCAAAAAGGGTTGGAATAGGGTGGTATGATTTCACAACCTGAGCATAGTTTGAACTTAACACTATTCTGTACATAACATCTTCAGAGATTAGAACCAGCTCTCAAGAGATCCTGCCAGCAGATGTTAGTGCAAAGGTCAAGGGCTATAAGGAGAAAGTTCAGGGCATCCGAGAAGTTATACAGAGGAAACACATGAAAGTTGCATTTTTTGGAAGGTGGGTGTTGTTCCCAAGGAAGTACTATGTATTCTCTGAAGCACCTGTGATAACAGTTTTAAACTTAAAGTGATTTGTTGTGTCTCAGGAAGCTTTCTACTCTTTTATGTAACAGTTTTTTCATCAAGATAAGAAGACAGTTAAAACAAGTGAACATTTCATCAAGATAAGATTAAACTAGAGAGAATGTTGTTTTTATATTGAGTCTGTGATATACATGATATTTGCTATATTAGCTACATCATGTACATCACACCAATGTGTAATTGGGAGTGATCAAGGGAGATAACCCCTTATTTGTTTTCCTGGTGATTTCAGAGTTAACATGGTTCATGTGCCATTACTGACTGCTGGGACAAAGGCCCCAACTTTTATCTTTCAGTCATTTTGTGTTAATTATACAATGTATCATTTATTAAGGTACTCTTGCACATACATGAGTTATCTAGATTGGCTCAGAAGCTGGCACAGAGTCTGCAGTTAATGACGGGAACCAGTGTATGAAATAAGCCAAAAACCCAGCCAGACATCAGGGCGGGTAACTTCAAAATGTTACTAGCCCCAAATGGGTTCAACGAGACCAGACACCAAGATATGGTGAATTTATTCAGATGTATGGAATATCTAAAAAAAAATTACCAGACCATCAGGCTGGCTAGCTGTAAATTTAGACCGTCCGTGACAAATCTAGCCCGTCTCGGGCGGTCGGACAGGCCTTATTTCATACACTGCAGGAACTGCAGCAAATTTCATTTGATTGATTGACCTAAGTCACAAGTTGTCTGTGGTATTTGAATTTAACATGTTGAAGAAATAAAGAACTTCAAATGAAATACCAATTTGAATCAATCACAATTGTTCCCAATTTGCCTGATAGGGCACTTTGTCTGGAATTCCAAATAAACAAAAGATCAGTGAAAACTTTCAGGTTTTCAGTTCTGCTATGTACAGTTTTCTTTTGTGCTCTGTATATGGACATGGCCACTGATCCTTTAGTGAGAGACTGTTGAACATCCTGAAGGACTAGCTATTTTGTCTACCTCAGTCTGGCTTGATGCTTTAGTGAGAGACTGTTGAACATTCTGAAGGACTATGTGTTTTGTCAACCTCAGTCTGGCTTGATGCTTTAGTGAGAGACTGTTGAACATCCTGAAGGACTATGTGTTTTGTCTACCTCAGTCTGGCTTGATCCTTTAGTGAGGAACTGTTGAACATCCTGAAGGACTATGTGTTTTGTCTACCTCAGTCTGGCTTGATCCTTTAGTGAGAGACTGTTGAACATCCTGAAGGACTATGTGTTTTGTCTACCTCAGTCTGGCTTGATGCTTTAGTGAGAGACTGTTGAACATCCTGAAGGACTATGTGTTTTGTCTACCTCAGTCTGGCTTGATCCTTTAGTGATAGACTGTTGAACATCCTGAAGGACTATGTGTTTTGTCTACCTCAGTCTGGCTTGATCCTTTAGTGAGAGACTGTTGAACATCCAGAATGTAATATGTGTTTTGTCTACCTCAGTCTGGCTTGATCCTTTAGTGAGAGACTGTTGAACATCCTGAAGAACTATGTGTTTTGTCTACCTCAGTCTGGCTTGATCCTTTAGTGAGAGAATGTTGAACATCCTGAAGGACTATGTGTTTTGTCTACCTCAATCTGGCTTGATCCTTTAGTGAGAGACGAACATCCTGAAGGACTATGTGTTTTGTCTACGTCAGTCTGGCTTGATCCTTTAGTGAGAGACTGTTGAACATCCTGAAGGACTATGTGTTTTGTCTTCCTCAGTCTGGCATGATCCTTTAGTGAGAGACTGTTGAACATCCTGAAGGACTATGTGTTTTGTCTACCTCAGTCTGGCTTGATCCTTTAGTGAGAGACTGTTGAACATCCTGAAGGACTATGTGTTTTGTCTACCTCAGTCTGGCTTGATGCTTTAGTGATAGACTGTTGAACATCCTGAAGGACTATGTGTTTTGTCTACCTCAGTCTGGCTTGATCCTTTAGTGAGAGACTGTTGAACATCCTGAAGGACTATGCGTTTTGTCTACCTCAGTCTGGCTTGATCCTTTAGTGAGAGGCTGTTGAACATCCTGAAGGACTATGTGTTTTGTCTACCTCAGTCTGGCTTGATGCTTTAGTGAGAGACTGTTGAACATCCTGAAGGACTATGTGTTTTGTCTTCCTCAGTCTGGCTTGATGCTTTAGTGAGAGACTGTTGAACATCCTGAAGGACTATGTGTTTTGTCAACCTCAGTCTGGCTTGATCCTTTAGTGAGAGACTGTTGAACATCCTGAAGGACTATGTGTTTTGTCAACCTCAGTCTGGCTTGATCCTTTAGTGATAGACTGTTGAACATCCTGAAGGACTATGTGTTTTGTCTACCTCAGTCTGGCTTGATGCTTTAGTGAGAGACTGTTGAACATCCTGAAGGACTATGTGTTTTGTCTACCTCAGTCTGGCTTGATCCTTTAGTGAGAGACTGTTGAACATCCTGAAGGACTATGTGTTTTGTCTACCTCAGTCTGGCTTGATCCTTTAGTGAGAGACTGTTGAACATCCTGAAGGACTATGTGTTTTGTCTACCTCAGTCTGGCTTGATCCTTTAGTGAGAGACTGTTGAACATCCTGAAGGACTATGTGTTTTGTCTACCTCAGTCTGGCTTGATCCTTTAGTGAGAGACTGTTGAAAATCCTGAAGGACTATGTGTTTTGTCTACCTCAGTCTGGCTTGATCCTTTAGTGAGAGACCGTTGAACATCCTGAAGGACTATGTGTTTTGTCTTCCTCAGTCTGGCTTGATCCTTTAGTGAGACACTGTTGAACATCCTGAAGGACTATGTGTTTTGTCTACCTCAGTCTGGCTTGATGCTTTAGTGAGAGACTTTTGAACATCCTGAAGGACTAGCTGTTTTGTGTACCTCAGTCTGGCTTGATCCTTTAGTGAGAGACTGTTGAACATCCTGAAGGACTATGTGTTTTGTCTACCTCAGTCTGGCTTGATCCTTTAGTGAGAGACCGTTGAACATCCTGAAGGACTATGTGTTTTGTCTACCTCAGTCTGGCTTGATCCTTTAGTGAGAGACCGTTGAACATCCTGAAGGGCTATGTGTTTTGTCTACCTCAGTCTGGCTTGATCCTTTAGTGAGAGACTGTTGAACATCCTGAAGGACTATGTGTTTTGTCTACCTCAGTCTGACTTGATCCTTTAGTGAGAGACCGTTGAACATCCTGAAGGACTATGTGTTTTGTCTACCTCAGTCAGGCTTGTTTTTCAAAATAGGAATAACTATCAGGACTCAGAACAATTAGACATAAAATAGGAGTTGGTGATGTATGTTCTGAGTTTGGCTGTAAATGGTGTTTGAAATAGACGTCGAAGATGTGAGACTGCAGAGTGTATTTTAAGTATTGTTTGTATTGAAGTTAAGATAGAGGGAACTGACTCCTAATTCTGAATACTTTATTGTATTCTATTAATGTCCTCCACACCTAAGGATGTGTAACAACTTGACTGGTGCTGGTAATGTTGGTGTAACACATTTTATGTTCAAAGGTGAAGTTTGATGTGGGTTTTGTCTGCAGAACTTCCAATGGAAAGAGCACCGTCATCAACGCCATGTTGCGAGACAAGATTATGCCGAGTGGGATTGGCCACACCACTCACTGCTTCATCCAGGTGGAAGGGTCTGACTCCACAGAAGCCTGTCTTCTCACTGAGGAGTCCGACCAACCCAAGAACCTCGGGGTAACACATTTGACAACTCTCAGCATTTAGGACATAGAGAATATAGTTTTTACATACGAGGAGGGATTGTTAACAGATATGAAAGTGCGATGTACATAATTTATTCACCATTTGTCTTGCTTTTATCATGTTTATATTCATGTTTATATTGGCATAATGTGCCTAATATTGGTTTGATTCTTTCCAGTCAATCAAACAGTTGGCCCACAATCTGAGTGATCAGAGACTCAAGTCTAACTCTCTTATTCGGATCATGTGGCCCAAGGATAAGTGTCGCCTATTGAGAGAGGATGTGGTGTTTGTAGACAGGTAAGTTAGAAGTATCAGTAGGAATTTAAAGTACTTGCAAGATGTGAATTTAGCAGATTGTATGGTTACAACTGTGTATTGACTGATTGTGTCTTACGGTATCCTGATGGCTCGAGATATTGTTTGTTGTCAGTTACTGATTTACCTGGAACGGACTCCATTGTTTTAGGGTGGAATAGTGTTGACTGCAATGTAACTTTAAAAACACTTAGTATATTTGGCAGTGGGTAGTCTTGTGGGAGACAATTCTCTCATGAATGAGGTCTGTTTTGAGTAACCAGCATGGTTAGAGTGAGTGAGTCCCCTCCTCAATATTGCTGGTCTAAAAGCATCATAAACTAAAGTTGTCCCCCGTCGCAACACTGCACGGGGGACTATGTATTCAGCGGCATCCGTCCGTCCTGATTCTTGTTAACCAGATATCTCATGAACCGTTGTACCCAATGTCTTTCAAATTTGGTGACAGCCTACATTGGGGGATTACACAGACACCAGTCGGTTTTGGTGACCTTGACCTTAATTTCAAGGTCACCATGACACTTTGACCACTCATCAAACTCTTGTTGATGCAATATCTCATGAACTGTTGTGCCCAATGTCTTCAAATTTGGTGACAGCCTACATTTGGGAATTATGCAGACACCAGTCAATTTGGTGAATTTGACCTTATTTTCAAGGCCACCATGGCACTTTGACCACTTTTCAAACTCTTAACGTGATATCTCATGCACTGTAGTACCCAATACAGTTGTGCCCCCGTTTATCCGGACCTTTGTGTTTGTCTTGAAATTGTCCAGATAAACGAATTTCCGGACATCTGAACCACGGACCATATGTAAAAAAACATACAAAGAAATGAATATAATAGACCCCGGACGTAATCTTTATTGATAGGACGTCAACAAATAACAGTGGATACATCAAATCACATCTTGTCAAATAAAGAAGTCAAGTCAATAACACGTGCGAACATATCTGTACATTCATCTGTCCGTTAAATGCTAGGAACCAATCACGAAATAGTTCTGATGTCATCCACACATTCACATTGTTCCTGTACCTAACATAAACTTCCAGATTAAAGTCACTACCAAAACAACGGGGACGTCTGGCCTTGCCAATCACAACTTAAAATTAACTCAGTGTCACCTTGCTAATTACAGGTAGTTAATCCTCTCCCGCTTCAAAGACTGCCGACTTCTTTTAGGTTAGGGCATGCAAGGCCACTCGGTAAAATGCGTGTGTAAACATACTGACCAGTGCTCAGCCATCCAGATATACGAGAAATAAATGCACATAATTTAGCTTTTTGTACCTGAAAATGACTGTCCGGTTACGGAAACTGAATTTCTGGATAAGTGAGTAATTTTACAACATTTTGAATTCGTTTTAAGGAATTTTCATTCAGAAGGCGAGTTTTCCGGATATCTGAGGTTCGGATAAACGAGGCATGACTGGTATCTTCAAATTTGGTGACAGCCTACATTGGGGGATTAAGGAGACATCATTTGATTTGGGTGACCTTGACCTTATCTTCAAGGTCACCACGACACTTGACAACTTTTCAAACTTATGTAAATGTGATATCTCATAAAACATTGCACCCAATTTCTTCAATTATGTCGACAGCCTACATTGGGTGATTATGCAGACATCAGTCATTTCTTGTATGTGAACAAAAAATGAAAAGTAGTAAATATGTTATAAATGTTTCATTCTCTTTAGCGGTGGGTACATTGCCATGTTAGTGGCAAACACTTGATTCTCTTACGTTAAAGTGATTTGGTGATTCTGTGTCTTCTGTGATTAGGTTATTGGTGTGTGTCCATTCCGCCATTCATTCCCCTCAAAATACAATGGATGAATTTGCTCATCATCTCATTGTTGCCCTTGTTTGTTTCAGCCCTGGCATCGACGTTGACCCTGACCTTGACTCCTGGATCGACCAGTTCTGTCTGGATGCAGATGTGTTTGTGCTGGTGGCCAATGCAGAGTCCACCCTGATGCAGACAGTGAGTACACTACACAGACTCTCTCTCTCTCTCTCTCTCTCTGCGTGTGTGTGTGTGTGTGTGTGTGTGTGTGTGTGTGTGTGTGTGTGTGTGTGTGTGTGTGAGTGAGTGAGTGAGTGAGTGAGTGAGAGAGAGAGAGAGATACACCTATGTACTGGTGGCCACCCTCATGCAGACAGTGACTACACTACACAGACAGTGGGAGATTCATACACCGATGTGCTGGTGTTATGATACACACTTTTACCAATGAATGGATTTGTGATTTGTATTGAATTTATGGAGTTATGTTGACAAAGTTATTTGGTTTTTAGTTCATCGTTACACTCACCAACGTTTTAGCTGTTTGGCATCTGTTTATGGATAAATAATGGTATAGAGGTTGCTTGGGATACAGTCGTACCTGGAATCCCCATGGAGTCAAAGTTTGTGCTGTAATTTAGTCTAAGCAGGGTAGACACCTTTTTCAACAAAAATTGGTATAAATATCAAACAGAACCTAAAGTGGTGCCTTTTGCTATTTGCAGATTTTTGGCATTTTTACTTGTCCCGGTTTCCATGGAAACGATTCAGTCTTAGTCTCAAGAAGGAATGGTGGGCTTCGTTTCTGGAGCACAACTCGAAAACCGTTCAATATCTTTCTACAAGACTAAGCAGATATATGAGACAGATCTTGAAGTGTTTTTTTTCGCTATATGCAGATTTTTGGCAGTTATTTTTTTATGATTTCTATTTTTCATGATTTATATTAGATTTGGACTTAGTGAAAAAGAATCAAGTTGGACTTAAAGTAACTGTCAGATGATTTGTTCATTCAAATTTGTTTGGGCCGGGGGGATTTGTCATCTTCTGATGAAGACCGTGTCTTAGCCTGTTGAAAGTTTGGAAGGGCTTTGAGCCCTTTATTGAGCTTCAAGTGTTACCATACTCAATCACTCATTCACTCTTGCAGGAGAAGAACTTCTTCCACAAAGTGAGCTCTCGCCTTTCGAAACCCAACATCTTTGTACTCCAAAACCGCTGGGATGTGTCCGCTATGGAGGAGGATGTGGAAGATGTAAGTATATTCCTATCCCATGGATGTAGAACACTGTTGTAAATGTGTGTCAGCTGCAGCTTGATTCACAGCTGTGAAATTACACAATTCAGAATATTGAAGTTATCACTTGTTTGTAATACTATGTCACATGATAAAACCTGTTGGTTATTATGTGGCTAATATTCACTCATAATTACAGTCAGTCATGGGATGCTCATTCCAGCCCATGTAAGACAAAATATATAAGGTGAAGGACAGTTAGGTAGCCTAGCGGTTCAAGCGTTTGTTCGTCATGCCAAAGCCCCAGGTTCTATTCCTCACATATGTACAATGTGTGAGGCCCATATGATGAAATATTGCTAGATATGATGTAAAACCACTCACTCACTCACTCACTCACTCACTCACTCTCTCTCTCTCTCTCTCTCTCTCTCTCTCTCTCTCTCTTTCTCTTTCTCTTTCTCTCTCTCTCTTTCTCGCTCTCTCTCTTTCTCTTTCTCGCTCTCTCTCTCTCTCTCTTTCTCCCGCTCTCTCTCTCTCTCTCTCTCTCTCTCTCTCTTTCTCTTTCTCGCTCTCTCTCTCTCTCGCTCTCTCTCTCTCTCTCCCTTTCTCCCCCTCTCTCTCTCTCTCTTGTTCATGCTGTACACCACTGGTTGTCTTGGCCCAGCCTTGTTTGTTTTCGGTCGGTTATATTCCCGACTGTTGAAACTATGTGTCACTAACCACTGGTCTCTGTTGTAGGTGAGGAAGCAGCACATGGAGAGGAACATTGAGTTCTTTGTGGACGAGCTGAAGGTGGTTGACAAGAAGACAGCCGAGGACCGAGTGTTCTTTGTGTCAGCTCGTGAGGCACTGGTTTCCAGGCTGCACCAGGACAAAGGAACGCCTACCCCCAGTAAGATGTCTTTTTCAGTGTAGACTACACTACACAAGCCCTGTTAATACATAAACCTGTTTTCTAGACATTTACTGATGGGATCACGACCATCCACTATATCAGGATTTCTTTGGATTTGATCTTGAGAAAACTGAACTTTATCCCAAATATATAAAGGCTTCACAATGTTTCTTATGTAAATCATCTTTCTATGTTTGTTGACTTCTTCAGTATGTGTAAACAATTGAAGTTGGGGACACTTGAATCCAAACATGAATTCCTTGTTGCAGGTGGTGTATTGCAGGATGGGTTTCAAATACGACTTTTCGAATTTGCGAATTTTGAAAACCAATTTGAGGTATGTGCTTGTATTTGTGTATGTCTCATTTCTATATCTAAGTCTGCTCTGTGGGTTAGGTTTAGTCTCCCATGCTTATTGTATGAGATGACGCAGTGGATGGGTGTTCAATTAAACAGGAAATCTTAGTCACATAGGGATTTCTTGGTATAACTTAGTGTCAGAAGTAATTGAAGACTTGTCAGAGCAGTGTTATCATTGTATCCCAATTGTGAAGATGGATGCTCATGATTGATCATAGGATTGTCTGGTCTGGTCCAATCTTGGTTATTTACAGACCGCCGCCATATTGGTTTGATAATGCTGAGTGCAGTTTTAAACACCAAACAAATGTTAAACACAGCTTACTTTCTGTCCTTTAGCAATGCATCTCCAAGTCTGCTGTGAAGACCAAGTTTGAGCAGCACACTGAGAGGGGCAAGTCCATCACATCCGATGTCAGGGGAATCATGGAGCAAGCCTTCAACACAAGTCTGCAGCTGAAGTAAGTCACATTATACTACAAAGTCATTCCTATAACACTTGCATTCCTGTATGCTGTCTGTGCTCAAGTTGTTTGAATCTGTTGCCTGCAACATTTCTTTTTTTCGTATGTTTCTTTATGGATATTATGTCTTACCTATCATCTGTCATGATGTAATTATCGAAAATCAAGGCATATTGTTTAAAGTCACAGACTTTGCATGTGATGTAAGATGTAAATGTTGGCTATGGTGTCACTGGATTTTAAGAGACATGGAGATAGTGGAAAGGTGGTACTGTTGTCAGCATGGTTGCTCCTCTGTCTCTAGAACTGACCAGGAAAATAAGCGACAGGAAGCGAGGGGATGAGCTGGACTTCCTGGTGAAGCAGCTGACCTTGCTGACCAACGAGGTGAAGGATAAGATCAAGGCTATGGTGGAAGAGGTGGAGAGGAAGGTAACAGTCTTGTGCTTTTTCTGACCTCAACCCTGTGGCATTACTATAGGATCTTCAATGGAGTTAAAGACCGCCTCTATGGTGTAGTGGTTAGAGCTTTCACCCGGAGAGCGGAAGATCGGGGTTCGATCCCCGGCCACGTCATATGAAAAGACGTTAAAATATGGTACTTGTTGGTCCCTGTCTGGCGCTCGGCATTAATGTGTACAACAAGGACTGGTCGGCTTGGAGTCAGTATGAGTGAAATATTCTCAAGCACGACATTAAACCCAATTTCATCTCACCTCTCTTCACCTCAATGGAGTTAAAACAGGATTAGGTTAGATCCTGTGGGGTTACAATTGGTCCCATCCTGTGGGTTTACGTCCTACACTCTGGGGTCAAAACAGTTGCCACCTGTAGGGTTAGTATGGGTCCTACCCTGAGGGGTCAGAATGGGTCCCACGCTGCGGGGTAAGAATGTGTCTTTTCCGGTAGGGGTAGAAGGAGTTTTACCCTGTGGGTTGCGAATAGGTCCCATCCTCTGGGGTTAGAATGCATCTTGCCCAGTGCGGTTAGAATGGGTCCCACCCTGTGGGGTTAGAATGGGTCCCACCCTGTGGGGGTCAGAACATGTCTCACCCTGTGGGGTTAGAATGGGTCTTACCCTGGGGGGTCAGAATGGGTGCCACCCTTTGGGGTCAGAATGGGTCCCTGTGGGGATGGCCCCATGAGGTTAGATCCTATCCTGTTTGATTAGAATGGATTAGGCCCCATCCCATACGCATAAAAGGAAAAGTGTGGCATATAAATTGATCTTATGATAAGGTTTGGAATTTCAATCCATGGTGATAAGGGAGTTTGTTCATAATAATATTTATGTCAACCACAGCCTGCCGTAATGTTTTTATTATTTACAGGTCTCTTTGATACAGAAGAAATACTGCTACGTTGGCATAAAAGAATATTCAATCACCGAAGATTTGTACATATGATACCTTGGCATTGAAACCAAATTCATGTTCTATTTGTTGAGTTCAAACAAAGATATGTCATGTACAGGTGGGCACAGCACTGAGTGAGGAGATCCGCCGCCTGTCCCTCCTGGTGGAGGAATATGACCACCCCTTCCATGCTGACAACGTCACTCTCAAACATTACAAGAAGGTGAGCACAACAACACCTTGTACCTCAACCCAAGCTGGAATGCTCATATGAACTAGACAGCTCTTACTGTGGTCATAATAAGTTAATTATCAAATTTTTATTCCTGCCTGTCTACCCCCCAGCCCATGGGGCATCCTTAAATCTCTACTTCAGACGAAGAAATTCACTCTGTGTGTACCAATGAAGATCCGGGTTAAAATTGGTCTTCTGCAACCCATGTTTGTCGTAAGAGGCTACTAACGGGATCAGGTGGTCAGGCTTGCTGACTTTGATGGCACATGTCATCGGTTCCCAATTGCGTAGCTTGATGCTCATGATGTCAATGGCTGGATTGTCTGGTCCAGACTGACTCAAACAAAAAACAAACTAACTATTTGTTCTAAACTTTGTTTACTTAATGAAACACACCATACACTAGGTCTTCCAAACATTCACGCTTCTAGTTAATCACATCTGATGACGAGCTTATGTCCACAGATGTCAATCATTTCCTTACAAAAATACTTAAAGTAAAATGCCTGATCTCACATCTGTTATATATATGTGTATATAAAAATTGATAATTAATTTCTTATGGCCTCTGGTATCTGATAATCAGAATGTGTTTGCATTTGACTTCGACATATACTATTCAATGTTTGATAAGGATATTCAGTTATGTTAATTTATGTATCATGGAGAAATAGGAAAATATCCTGATCTAAAGTTGTATAGCATGGTATGTCATACTCACATCAGCCCACATGTTTCATGGACTGTAAATACCATCCAGCATACATGACAGGTAATGTTGATGTGGGGTGACCCACAGTGCATTCTCACCTGGTTTCCATGGCTACACCATCCCCTAACATAAGATAGGTCAGTACTATAAGACCAGCTTCTCAATTTGGCATCCATGCTATTGTATGAAGTTTTTTAAAACCAGTATCTAACACTGTTGTGTTGAATCTTGATGTGTCGAAATTACGTTGATCTCAAATTAAAGCTTCGTCACCTTGTATTCCATATTAAGTTTTGTAGTTGCAGCAATCATTATGGAAAACTTGGAGTATTTACGTTGACTCTTTCAACACAATGATGTTTGATAGTATACCATGCATGGACCTTCATTGCAACAACTTTCTACAAATACCTGCCTTATTTCTGCTCTTTAGGGTGCAGTTATACATGTCAATCTAAGTATACAATTCCATCTAAGGTGATTTTAACTCCCATACCTGAACATAGACTTGTCAGTTGAGATTGTTTTGTACAAAAATGCCGAGAGGGTTGTTGTACAAGGGGAACTTAGCTCTAAACTGATTGTAACACCCATACCTTAACATAGACTTATGACAGTTGAGATTGTTTTGTACGAAAATGCTGATGGGGTTGTTGTACAAGGGGGAACTTAGCTCTAAAGTGATTGTAACACCCATACCTTAACATAGACTCATGACAGTCTTAGCGCTTAGAGTAAACCAGATTTTGGTTTGAGGGTTTCTTACGACTGAAGTTTGTAAAAGGCAATGAAGAAAAATAGAGGGTACTTCTGTTTAGTGACAATTTTACATTACATATTCAAGAAACGGTGAATTACCTGTTCAGTGGAACACCATTAAGGAAGGAAAATATTTGTAATTATTGTTTGTAAAATAAGAACTTTAGAAAGTTGTTGAAGTGAAGTGACTTGTGTAAACCATTTGTCTTTTCAGGGGGAGTTGTTTGATTCCATGTTTCAATTAAAATATGTAAAGTAGCTCGGCATTCAACTAAATACTGCACATGAAACAGTTTGAAACAAGTTGATGTGTAGTTCCAACTTTGCTTTGCAAGGATCTCCACACTTATGTTGAGGCGTCACTGTGTCGCAACATGGTCGGACGATGCACGTCGTCCATCTTGAGGCGCATGGACAACACCGAGGTGTGGATGACAGGTAAGAGAGGTCGGTGTCGTCATCATGTGACCTCATCTTGTGACCTGTGGAGTGCAGTGAGCTCATAGCGGGAATGCACAGACCCTGCCATTGTGACTCATCAATCCATTTTCATTGTTTCAGATTTGTTTTCTCTTCGAAGCTTGCATGCTCCATGTTTTATGTCCTAATTTCATCATCATGCTTTACTTTTCAGTGCTGGTGCACCTGTGTCATTTGGTTTTACTTAGTTGCCATGGCTACTGAATCACCATGCTCATCTTAGTTTTGAATTAATCTGCTGTGCCTAATGTCTGCCCTATAATGCCTCTAAGTGACACAATACAGAAGCTTCATCGATCAGATTAACAAGAGCTTCGTACTAAACTAGCCATGTCAGGTGTCTTGCCTGCTTATAATTAGCAATGGAAACATTGTTGAAACCACCAGATTTATCTACACCTGCTTTGTGGCTGATATTTTTCTGACAGTGAGCAACAAATATCAGTGAAATGTCCTGAATTGGAATTACACATTTCCAACTTCATGTTGAATTTACAGGTAATGTAATAGCAAGGTAGTGGTGACTTTTACTGATAACCTGACCAATATATAGATAATGAGGCTTTAATGATTACATTGAGTGCAGTGTTAACATTTAGTGATAAAATACGCCAAAATTAAGGGAAGAAGATTTTCAAAGAAAAATCCTTTTGAACAATATTATGATCCTTCCTAATTTAAGTGTGAAGGGTACATAGTTTGGAATCCTAGACTGCAGGTGTTGATCAATATGTGATTGTACAAATCACAACAGCAATTATATAAACATTCCAGTTAAGGACAAATAAAAAAAATGTTGTGGTTTTGATTAAACCTCTTTAAAATTTAGGGTAGGTAGGTAGGATATTTTCTTTTACATTTTTATTAGAAGTTAAGTACAAACTAATAACATTTATCAATGTGTAATTGTTTATTCAATCAAACTTGCAGCCATCCTGTTGAATTTCTCTATCAGAATGACTGATGTCCGTTGGTGCCGGGGAAAAACAGTGGTATCTGAAAGCTTATTTTATTTATACTGCCTAAAAAAAAATAGGGTTGGCACCAGAATTCGGAACCAAAACATATATTTTTTAGGCCTAATCAGTCCCAAATTTACATGAAATATAAATTAAATAACATATGAGATAGTTGTGATTGCGGAAAGTATGTCACTTATAAAAGTAATATTCTATTGTCCGAATGTATATCATAAAGATATTGCACATCATATTTTATCCCATGTGGGTAATGATAGTTAAATTTCCCAGATTTAAGTCAGAAGTTTTCAACTTAGGATCATAAGTTTTTTCCTGCTATTGACATGGCCAAAAGAACCCAGACATTGATCCTTACCATTTCATACAGTGTTACATTAACCCTAAATCCATGTCCTTTTTCATTCTCATTGTGGATATAGATTTGTTCGTTCTGCTACTCACAGGTTTCTCCGTAAACGTCTAAAACCTGGAATATATTTGATGCTCTCCTCACAGATTAAGCTGACGTGCGGTGCCGTAGCTTGGAAAACTCTTCAAAGTTATGTTTAAACTCAACTCTCTCACTCACTCCCAAATTTTAGAAAATATAAACCTGAGAAAATCCTTCCCAAACAGCGTTTTTTGCCCAGTTGTTTGTTCAGACTCTTAGTTCTGAGATAAAACTTGGTGTGTTTGGTGTACATGGTATAGTTATACACAGAGATATTGCAGACTGACCCAGTGTACCAGGTTGACTGTCATAGTACAGCCAGCCACTACTTGTTCAGATGAGCATGATGATTCTCCATGGGCTCACCTTCATGTTGTCATACTTGTAGCATTAGGGGGTCACAACAGGCTGTCAGTATTCTCATCTCATATTGAGTCATTTTCAAAATCAAGTGACATGACATCGGTTGTTCCAATGAACTGTAAATTCTAGTTTCAGCTTTTTGAAGGAAAACCAAATTGGAGAGCTTAACTGGGACATCTTTCCACAAAGGTACCCCAGTTCCACAGACATTTTAGCACCCATATTTTAACAATAACTTACGACAAAAAATATTGCTCTGTGGAACTGGTCACTGAGATGCTTTAGACTGAAAAATGAAGCCCATTGCTATTACCCATCATAATCACTGGAATATTGCTGAAAGCAGCATAAAAACATTCTGAATGAGTCGAAAAACATGACAGCTTGGTTGTTGACTCCCCTATCTACCCCCTCTCTGCTCCCATCGTATCACGTGACTTGTACATCTGGTTTCCTACGTCAGGAGTTGCATGCACATGTAGAGGAAGGGTTGGGACGTAACCTGCAGGCACGCTGCTCGGCGGCTTTGTTGCAAGGCGTGGAAACTACTGAAACGGATATGACAGGTAAAGGGAGCTAACTCTCACAGCTGACATACGATAGTGATTGGCATGAGCGTGCAACATCACAGATGGGGAAATGATGGAAGCAATGAAGTTGCTCAGCCTGACCAGCTGATCCATTAAGCCCCCTCTTAGAACAACATACATTAAAAAGTGAGAATTCATGAGCGTCTACTTCTTTGTTAAGAGGAACATGATGTTACAGAGTAGATTCTTACTTCTTCGTTAGGTGAATGAAAGACCAGGAAGCAGATAGCTATACAAACATTGATGGTCACTTAATTTCTTGCCCTTAAGCTCCATGTTTTTTTCTGCTGTAAAGAACTGTTGCTAAAAATTGTCCAGGAACCTTCGACCTTTGGCTATTTAGTGTAGACTAGTTCAGTTGGTGTAGGAACTGTAAAGATATTCCCTCAATCCTGACAACGAACAGCCTAATTGACTTGAAGTGGTCATTTTTTTTATGATTTTGTTGAAAGTTGTTTGAAGGACTGTTGCTAATGACAGTTTAAAACAGATTTGTAATGAAAGAAATATTTCGCTGCATCACAAGGAGCTAACTGCATGGACCTTGAATGTATCACTTGCATGGTAGACTGATTGTAAAGTGGTGACAGGCTGCTAGTGCATGACGACCAGCATGGATCAATACTGCACCCAGTCATCAGAACGGACTGAAGAAAGATATCATTTATCTCTAAGTAGATATTTGGGCCCAGTATAGGTACCCCAGTCTCCTATGGCACCAGGAATCAGAGTTGTTTATTCTAGGTTCTTCAATAATCTATTAGCTGGAGATCAAATCCTGTTTTGTCCATAATGGTGTTTTCCCTCCTAGAGCAACAGGATACAGTTTTCAGAGTTGCTACCTCAGGTTCTCCAGAAATCTATTAACTTGATATCAAATCCTGTTGTTTCCCTGATCATATTAAAGGTTTGTGAGACATGTTGACATGCTGTGATGTGTCTGATCCACTGTTGGACTGGAGATAATCTCACTGGCTGTAGACACTACATACAGGAATTAGTTGACTATTGGCTCATCCATTGACTATCATCTAGGTTTACAGCCTATCAGTATATAGAAGTTGTGGCTGTTATTGTGCAACACAGGAGCATTCTTTGTCATTGTCGTACACTGTGCTGTAACTGTTCATCTGTGATCACTCTAAATCAACCACTGAATACACAATGCCATTGTGGTCAAATGTAACACATGTTCTATCACCCACTGTCACACATTCACAGCTATGCACACATGCACATGAACACATTGACTCACTGTTCACCCAACAGAAAATGGGTACCCGTTGCTATAAGTCATGTGACTATTAACCTTCTCGCTCATCACAGGCAGCTTTGGTTATCTGGGGTAATAATCCAGTGCTTCTGAGCAGTGCTACATTGGAAATAAATGCTATACAAATGAATAACATTACCAAAGGTTTATGATGGCCGAGTACAGTTAAGGTCACAAGTCAGTCATCTCTCTGCTTTTATAGGTACTGGTAGATGTTTAATGCAGTTTCAGTTCATCAGAAGCATGTCTGTAAAATGGTGGTCTGCTGTGTGCCTCCTGTTGCTGCTTCTGCCATGTAAACATTGTCTATACGATACAAGTGTGTGTACTCCACATTCCTCAAACACATAGCGTCTCCTTGTGGTGTAATAGCTACACATGGCTGTTAGTGGCCATGTGTGACTCATGAATAAAAACGAGCCCTTTTCCATACTAAATTCTGTGAACCAAGACTCACTTTGAAGCAATGTGTAGATCTGGGTCTTTGTTTCACACAAGAAATGTTGGCGATATATTCTGAGCTCCCTCTGTTGTCGTTGGGACAAGGCTATTCTTGAGTAATTGGTTATGCACAGTGACTCCATTGCCAAGTAGCTGTGTCTGTAGAGATGGAGGAATGTGGGGTAACAAGCCTGTGTCGTATTAACCATATGCCCATCATCACTACACCATTTTCTTGAGCCGCCTTTGTTCTGTGGTTTCAGTAGTCTTATATTCTCATGTCACATTGCATTTTTGCACATATATTTTTAGAAACTTTGTAGTATTTTTTTTATATCTAGAGAGTATTTTTCTTTATTGAGTGATGATATGCTCTTTTTTATAAGCCTTAGTAATTCATTACCAAGTCAGCAAAAAGCTTGATTTAATTACATAGTTATTAACAGATGTAGTGTTGGCAGATATTTCCTTTGACGCATGATGCAACCACTTGATACAACCCAGTCTACAATTTATGCATGGATGCTTGAGCCAAACAGCTAACTACAATGCTTCTGATTCATTTCCTTACCACCTTGAAAGTTTGATCTTCACAGACTACAGTCAGAGCACAAGTATACCCTTGATAGTTCAGTATTTTGGGTGTAGATGCCATCGACAGGATGTATGAATATCTGAAATCGATAATGCAGCTAAATATTTTTGCCTATCGGAACACAGTGTTTTATGACTAGGCCACAGTGGCAGGTGGGTTTAAGGTTAGCAGTGATGAAAGGGGTTGGATCGGGAGACCGTATGGGTTCGTCTCTTGTAAGGCCTATGTACAGATAGAGGTGAAGGTACTTGAACTGAAATGCATACAGGAGACAAAAGAAGGATGTTAGTTTATAGGTATGATTGTAGGATGTGAGTTCAGGCCTGTGTCACGGTGTTTGTAGTTTGGGATAAGCATGAGGGTATTTCACCCAATCCAGTTACATGGATCAGGATCATCATCGACTTCATTGGTCTTTACATGTATGCACATGCAATATTGCATTAGCAGATTTATAGGAAGTAAAATGAAAATATCCACTGAATCCTTTTGTTCATTTTCTTTCAATAAAATGGGACAGATTTCATCACCAGACCCCTACTTTGTGCCAGTGATTTGTTTTATATCTTTTTCTGACTCAAATAATTTAGTCTCTAAATTCAACTGATTTTAAATTCGAAATGATTTTAAATGCAGAAGTGTTGATCAGAAATTACTGTACAATGAATAATTTTAAGCTATATTCACTGTAAACAGACATCAATCCCACAACAGCTGTGTCATTGAATCATCACTGCATCACCATCAACAAGCTTTCTTTCCGTTAATGTTTAGACCGATTGTCATCAATTCTCCCAGAAGAGACAAGGCAAGTGCTGTATAATCTCATTCCAAAGAGGGATTTTGAGATTGCTTACAGACTTGACTGTCGGAACCTATGTGCGGACTTTAAAGAGGACATTGAGTTCAAGTTTTCCCTCGGCCCCACCAGCCTTATTCAAAGGCTTCTGGGAGGCAAAAGTGCGAGGTCAGCTTTAATGGGGACTGCTGGAAGTGTAAGTGGAGTTCATTCATCTTGCCACTTATTACCTGCAACGTACGTTTACTTGGATATGCTTTTCAAATTTCATAGAGACCCTAATGGCTGTAGACATTGTAGGGTGTGGAATCCTTCAGAGGTTAATGTTTGCATGTCACACACAAAATCCAGGTCAAGATTCAAGTACAAGTACATGCAACATGTACATTTCATGGATTACCCATGGGGCTATAGTGTTGGTTGAATAATGCAGTGAATGGGCTGGACACATCAGCGAATAGCTAATTAAGTATCATGATTTATTTTGTTTCATTGATTTAAGGAATGGCGGAGTAATTTTGAAAATACCGCTGAAATATGGCAATAACTGTTTGGTAGCCAGTAGTGTTGGTGGAATAATGCTTGCAGTAGCATTAATCCATTCTCACTGTCACTAGTTTATTTATCAAAGACATTTAGAGAACATTGAAACTTCTGTTAAAAAACAAAAGGAGACTTTTGAGTTCTGTCAGTTTCAACCATTGTTTCACTTCTCTGACCACAGTTGGGTCGGACATCCAATTCCAGCGAAGCTGACCGATCGCAGCAAGATGAGATGCTGGCGTCCTTACTCACTACATTTGTGTCGTTGTCATCGCGGACAACATTGGGAGCTGTTGCAGTAGCAGGAGTGGTAAGTCTCGAATTGTAGGGAGGTAGTCGTAGCTCAAGGGGTACACTTTCTCTTTCGTCTGAAGCAGAGGGGACAGTAGGGTAGCCTAGTGGTTTGAACATTCGCTCATCATGCCAAAGACCCATGTTCGACTCCCCCGCCATGATAGGGAGTAGGCTTTGGTGTCCCTTGCCGTGATATTGCTGGAATATTTGCAAAAAGTGGTGATAAGCTAAACTCACTCACTCATCTGAAACAGGGATGGATGGTAACCTAATGGTTAAAGGACTGAGGCTCTTTTCACGAAGCAACCTTTACTAAGGTTAACCTTAGCTCCCATTCTTTAACATTGCACTAAGGTTACCTCAGTGACTTACGATCACCTTAGTGCTTTGTGAAAGGAGGCCCTGGTGAAGGGAAAGTCTGCTCCTGTCCCTACATTCATATTGCTTGAGATGGTTTCAGGGAGCTCCACTTCCTCTCTTTCTTAAACATTATAAATTTGGCAGAAATGTTCCTTGTGATGATATAAATTATGCAGTGATTTCAATTTCAACCACATATTCTGATTGTAAACCCAAAAAGTTCAGAATGGCACAGGCTTACTGAGTTCTTTGGTTACTCCAGGTATTGTAGGCATATAAGGGCGTATTTGAGATGCCATGTTTTTGTGTCAGTTGACGAAGGCTGCTGGGTGGCGTGTGATAGCCGTGTCTGCAGCACTGTACGGCCTGCTATACCTGTACGAGAGACTCACCTGGACGAGCAAGGCCAAGGAGAGGGCTTTCAAGCAGCAGTATGTGGAGTATGCCAGCAGCAAACTGAAACTCATTGTGGATCTCACCAGCTCCAACTGTAGCCACCAGGTTCAGCAGTGAGTAGCCTTTGTCTTCACATCCCTTTGTTCCTGTGCAGGGAGTAGCCTTTGTCTTCACAACCCATTGTCCCTGTTTAAGGAATAGCCTTTGTCTTCACGACCCATTGTCCCTGTTTAAGGAATAGCCTTTGTCTTCACAACCCATTGTCCCTGTGTAAGGAATAGCCTTTGTCTTCACAACCCATTGTCCCTGTTTAAGGAATAGCCTTTGTCTTCACAACCCATTGTCTCTGTTTAAGGAATAACCTTTGTCTTCATAACCCATTGTCCCAGTTTAAGGAATAGCCTTTGTCTTCACAACCCATTGTTCCTGTTAAAGGAATAGCCTTTGTTTTCATAACCCATTGTCCCTGTTTAAGGAATAGCCTTTGTCTTCACAACCCATTGTCCCTGTTTAAGGAATAGCCTTTGTCTTCACAACCCATTGTCCCTGTTTAAGGAATAGCCTTTGTCTTCACAACCCATTGTCCCTGTTTAAGGAATAGTCTTTGTCTTCACAACCCATTGTCCTGTCATTCGATTCAAAACAATAGGGCAGGTGGGGTAGCCTAGTGGTTAAAGCATTTGCTCATCACTCTGAAGGCCTGGGGTCGATTCCCCAAATGGATACAATGTGTGAAGCCCACTTGTGGTGTCCCCCGCCGTAATATTGTTCATATATTGCTAAAAGCGACGTAAAACCCAACCCACTCACTCACTCACTCAAAACAATTACATTGTTTGGACATTTATATATATGACTTTCTGGGACATTTGTCATGATGGTGCATGTGTGTTGCAGGGAGCTGTCCTCTACCTTTGCGCGACTGTGTCACCAGGCAGACAGCACCAAGCACCAGCTGCAGGAGGACCTCAAGCAGCTGGATGTCACCATCTCACAGCTGAAGGACATCTCTGGAAAGTCCAAATCCCTAAGGTAATGGTTGACATTAAAGAATAGGAAGATCAAAGCTGAAGCACTATAGCATAGAACAGAGTGACCATCTCATAGCTGAAGGGCAAAAATCTCTGTTAATGTTTTGAATTTGAACCAATAATTATTGTTATATGCTATTTCTATCATGTGCTACACCCGTACATATTATCATTAACCATGATGAAAAAGCTGAAATTCTGCTAGCCATCATAAAACTTAACGTTCAACTAAATGACCAGGGCCTACATTTTCGAAGCTGTCTTAGCGCTAAGATAGTCGTAAGTGCCATACATTAACATTTACTTACGACTATCTTAACGCTAAGAGAGCTTTGAAAATCTAGGCCTAGGGCAAAGACTAGTAGTGCCACCCCTGCTGTCATGGCAGATATGATTGTCAGTGTAAGTAAATGGTCTTTCATTTTATGCTCTCATTCTATTTTTTTTTCAATCTTAGGAACAAGGCTGACTGGTTGGACGGAGAACTGAACACATTTGTTGAAAATTACTTGAAGCAGTCTAGTGTATGATAAGAAGGAATCTAACCAGCGGAACCCTGACAGTGAAGATACTAATGCCCAGCTCTTTAAGACCAGCCTAGTGTGTCTGGGTAACTCTCTGAACCTTGGACAGTACAACTGAGCATGTGGTGAACTCATGGTGCGAATACAGCTCCGAAGGTTGTATAGTTCGCTGAGACTTTTCAGCCATTGGAAGCTGATCACTGGAAAGCTGATTGTTTTCTCTGAGCCTCTTACAACCCCAGAATCTTGTACACTTAACATTTATACATCTGGTACAAATACAAGCTGCTGAAACAGACATATGTACAATCCTAAGTCTTGTACTCGTACAAGTAAAGGCTACTGCTCTGTGTCTGTTATCTACACAGGAGGACATTCAGGCTGCAGGTGGTGTACCTGTAGTGATAAGGACAAACAGGACAATGGTTAGCTGTATTCAAAAAAGAATTCAGGATGATGATAAACACAAGTTACACATAGATGGGGAAGGAGAGAAACATAAATACATGTGGAAGTAGTCCGAACTAATTATATATCAGCATATTCTAAGATAAGCATAAATTCAAACTTTGCAATTGTTTCTGATGAGTGACATTAGGACCTTCTTCATCTTGACATTATTATCTAGATATTCAGATTTTCTATTGAACCATTCTTCATTGCAGGTGATGTACTTATGGTAACAGGGTTAAGTTGTCCTTTACATAACTGTTCTTGATTGCTGGACTAAAATGTTATGAAGTTTCAAGTAGATTTTGACCACTGTAAATGAATATATGTTTGCAGATGATGAAGGCAGACCAATAATAATGTGTCACAGACAGAATCTCTCTTGTTCTCTTCATTTTAGTTATGATCCGATGTTAATGTCGACCCTTGGATGCTATTCTACACATCGGTTAATGAGACATCCAAGGAGCTCTTCAAGAACTATCGTTTCTGAATAGTTACAAGTGCCTCGCCTTCATCAGTAACTTGCGCAGTGATAGATTTAGGATTTCGGACAAAGTGGCTTTGGCAAGCAGATTGGGAACATAATTGTTATTTTATTCATATTTGAATTGTTTTGGGGTCTCATTTTGCTTATTTTCAGGGGTCTTTTAATTTGATTTCATTACAGTAATATAAAATTTAGTCTCTTCCTTCATTTGTTTCTGTTATCAGTGGAATAAATTGAATACATGAAATAGAAATTTATTAATTCCAGTGTGTTAACTTTTACTGACAATTGCAGCAGACTATGGGATAAATATTGATCTGGGAGCAGATGTAGATAAAATGCTTTCTTGCATGATAATTTGAGGTCGTCCGAGAAGGCTTCCTGAAGCTATTGCTGAGATATGTGCATCAGGACAGGGGGAATGTCGTGCTGTGACAGTTGATGTTGTTAATACTATGGGAGTTTGGTTGGAGGCTATGTTAGGTTCGCATCATGCAGCTGGGAAAAGATCTTGATACTGATATGGACACAGGAGATACTGTTGAATGTTTTTAGGAGGGAAGGGTGTAAGAGCGTGTGTGACAAAACAGTTTGTAACAAATATGCTGGTCCTCTGGCAGATGACAGGTAAAAATTATCAGGACCAGTACTTCATGAATTGTTGTGGTCTGACTTGCCAGAGATGACCCAAATGATTAGAAGCAGTTGAATGTTAAATGCCAGGCCATATGTTTTGTTACCTAAGGTTATTATGTGTGATAAGCAATCATTAAGAGGAATGATAATTATTTAAGACTGATGTTTTTAGTTGCCTAACAAATATTCTAAGAGACAAGAGTCAGTGTCTGTGGAACTGTCCTGATGCCAGTCAGAGAAACACATATTTACCAGTACTGAATGCTGCAAGACTTTTGAATTGAATTACTCTTGAATATCTTGAATATACGGCTTTAATCTGTAGTTAATATACTGTGTAGCTTTATAACGATACTGACACCTTCATGGAGATTATATGCAGACTTATTGTGTAATAATATGATGTATCCTAATGTTTTTGTTTATCATAATGCATTGAGCATATTAGCCTGAGACATATTGTGAGCAGTCTTGAACTATCTAAACTACGGTTATTTCAACCTATGTAATAAGAAAGTTTGTAGAGAGCAATTTGGGCCTACCATGAACTTACATACTTCACATATCAGAAACTTGTCCAAAACTGGGTTTACAGACAGAATGACCATGAACATCGGATAAGATGATTTGCCTAAAAGCTGCAATAGATTTTCCTTTGACAAAATCCTACTACCTTTTGTGAATTCATGAAAGTAATTTCCAGTTTCAGCAAGACTTGAGTTTTCAGTCAGAAAGACAGTTTGTTTGTGTTACCTGTGTCAGGTTGAAATATTCCATGCCTGATTTCTGTCTGAGGTTGTCAGAGATCAAGAAAAGCAAGGTGTATAACCTGTATGTCAGCTAAGGTTCAGTTAATGATTGTAACTTGCTTCAAAGTTTCATTGTAAAGGTGTCATGGTACACTAATCTCAATATTTTGTTGAACAACAACAGCATAATATGATCAATGTTTTTTGTCATTTATATGCAGGATGTTTTACTGTTTACAAATGAAATGATATCAGTAATTTTATATTTTGTTACAGAGAGTAATATTATTAAATCTGCCATGATGAAATTAGGTGGATTTCTTCATCTCATGAAATTCATTTTGTAGATTCACATTGTATTAAAACTGCCTTACCCCTTTGTTAGATAAAATTTGTGGATTTGAGTTGTGAATATATTTATTGTTATTTTATGTTGTAAATATTACAGAATTGTTTGCTTTGTTGTTGCATGAAGTGCTGTTAGTTCATTTGTTGAGAAGATATTTGAGTCATGATCAAGAACACTGCAATTTAAAGCCTACCAGTATATTCAAAGTTTTGTAAAAACACTAAGAATGGAGAATGAAAGCTGTCGAGAATGGTATTTAGTAGTTTGTGATAGTGATAAGTTCCTTCAAGCTTGATTCCATGGTGCTGTTTTCTTTATGGATACTGCATAGCTAGAAGAGAAGGATATACTGCCAGGAAGCATGCGTACTTGTACACCAGCTGACATAGCTGACAGTCAGTAGCATGTAGTGGTTCCTTGGAGTGGCTGGTTCTGTGGTGGCTGAGGTCTCTGGAGATGGTGCTGACTTGCCTAGTCTTTCTTAGCCGTTTTGTTTTGCAAGCCTGCTTATGCTTAGATTTGTTTGATTCCCCCCACATGGGTACAATGTGGGAAGCCCATTTCTGGTGAATATTGCAAAAAGGGCCATAAAACTAAACTCATTCAATATGCTTAGATTTCCAGCAATGTACTCAAATTTGTCAGCCAAGTAGTAGCTTAACTCTACAAGCTTCTGTGATTGGATGTTTACCAGACTTCATGACACCTTTGGCCATGTAGAATCCTTGACATCCTTGGTTTGTTTTTGTATTATGTTTGCAATATTTGTTTTCATTGACATGAATAACAGAGGATAAACACATATTGATTTCTAGTTTGGAAAAGTAATTTGTTAGCTCTTAAATTAATGATACAGAATGGTATGTAAGGATTTGAGAAGAAATGGAGCAGTGGATTCAGAGGACTTTGATGAAGCTAGGCAGCATATTAAATATTTCATTCTGTTAATTGTACCAGTGTATAAATGCTCTAAGGATATTTGTACAACGTATGAATTACTGGGAAATTTGTGTCTGTATAAGTCCATCTTACGATGTAAATATATAGGCAGGTCTTTCTTGTAACCTTGATGGCAACCAGATATGTGAAACAAAAGAATTGCGCCTGATCCATATGCCGGCTCCGGGGTATTAAGAAATGTGAGCATGTTTACCTTTCCTCAAATGATATGCAGAAATGAATTGTAAAAATGTCCACTCAAAATAAATTGATATATCAACCCGGTGATCTTTGTAATTTGATCATTTATGGACCCTGTTGTATTCATGATTTCAGCTTTGCCTTAAATCGTCAAGATGACGTGGTGATACGAAGGTGTCGCACTGGACATTCACATTATACTCACTCATATATATTAAAGGAGAGGATTCCCTTCCTTGTATTCCTTGCCACAGTACTCTTACTGTGAAGAATCTTTTATTGGAATGTGTGGATTTTTTGCTCTGTTCAGACAATTGCTGAACATTTCAATACTGTTTCCAACCATTTATTTGTAGCCTATCTGAAGGAAATTTCTTTACTAGTTTAGTTTTTACTGTGATAATGGGCTGACGCTTTAGTGATCTTCATTATCACTTTTATTATATACTAGTATACATTTCTAAAGGAAATATTTGATTTTCTTGTGGTAAATAGCTGCAATATGGTTGATGCGGCCTAAAGCAACATTTACTCTCACTCACTCACTCACCCAGCTTTGCCTGACAAAATCTGTCAATAATCTGTGTTATGGATAATAGCCTCGTTACACAGATCAAGGGACAAATGCCCAACATAACAATCAAGAAAGGTGACATGGTGGTGTGGATTAGTGTGGATTTTGTAAAGAATATCGAAGTAAATGTACTAAACCAGAGTTGTACCAGATCATCATTGCAAAAACACATCCTCCAGCTTATCAGATTGACATTCTCTTGAAATAACACATCCATGAGTTAATGAGTCTGATATGTTACCAACAAACCAGGAAAGTATCATGTTATCGTGTGGTCGATTTATATTTAAAATATGTTCTGTAAAGATACAGATTGTAAGTGTTTAAAGATTTATTTTAACACTGTGAACTTTAAAAAAGTTGATTCTTGAGAAAAGGCATGAACTTCGTTGTTGACTGTTATTTCCTATATCAGCAATGGAAATGAATATTGTTGCCACGAGAATCCATTTGACACCAGTAGCATTGTAACAGTATCACGTTACTTTAGTCTATAAATCAATCAGTAAAGCCAAATAGTCAATAAGGACAGAGGAGAAGAAACCAACCTGGTTGTACCTGTATGATCTGTAAGGACAGAGGAGAAACCTCCCAGATTGTATCACCTATTTCAGCACGGCTCCCTTGGGGGCTGCATAAATCGCCTTACACGCGCATGCCGCGCGTCGTTGGATAGATGTGTCCTGTGGCTACATGGAGAATGTTTCCGTTTGTTTTTTACGCAACTTTATAGCCGAGCAATTAAGGTTTCTGTGATTTTAAGCTGTGCGTTTTTCTTCCACGTAGGCCCCGGTGGAAGAAACTTGTTCCACCCAGCCTCCGGTGGAAGTCGCCTGCGCCATGGCATTTTTCAAGCCTTCTACTTTGTCATATCTATGCATGTTATACGTTCTTGGAAACCTTGGGAAACGCTCTCTCCAAATATGCAAACGTGAATATTGTGCTGCCCCTGGTAACCAGTCCAGATTGAAACTCCGACGTGATGTTTTGTGTAATTTTACTGAAGTTCAATTCTTCTGTGATATAGCAATTTTCGCCAACATCGCGCAGTCGTGATATAACGGCTACTATTCTTACACATCACCTCAGAATATACATTTCTATAGCGCGTTTGAAAGCCTATTAAGGCGTGTTTTAGACAATGTATAATACGCACATGTTGCACATTCAGTGGTGGAGCTATATGAGTATTAATGTGCGAACTGCAAAATATAAGGGACGTGATATAGATTGGCGGAATATAGATGAATTTGTACACCGGCTATACCGGCGGTGTTAATATTTACATCTATAGTGCATTTGCAAGATCATTCATGTGGGATTCTGGGAATATGTAATTTGTTGTTGTGCGACATTAGATAGTTGAGCAATACAGGAATGAACATGCTTGACATAACTAAAAAGTACAAGCGTTTGGAATCTAACCATAACAGCAATACCTGTAGTGTTATTATTTATAATGTTAGTGTATCAGAAAGCCCTTGAAAATGCGGTTCTGCCAAGGTATAATGTGCATTCGAGTCACACCTGATAGTCGGGCTCTGCGCGCCGTTATATTTTGCTGAAACCGGATCAAATCTATGATCTGGCGTGCATGCTCCGTCGGCCCGTCGGCGTTATGACAGCTATACTTTATCACAAAAGCCGCCTCTATTGTCACTTAATTAGCTTTATATCACACTCTATATATCACATCTACGTATCATCATTGTTTTTATAACGTCTGTTTGACCTGTCCTCGTGGATTCGTTGTATATACATGCACATCTCTAGCTTCCTGTAAATCTAATTATCACTTCATTAGCTGTCCATCACTCTGCTGTGTTTACTGTTTAGTCTGAGGCGTGGCAGGTAATTTCCGGAGATGTACCACTAATCAGCAAATTTAATTTCGTCACCGTGAAGATATCCTTTTGATAAGCAGCTTTGTGATTTTATAATCTTGTCGCCCGACTGATTTCAGCCATGTGCATAGAATGCTTGGTTTTCATTGGGATGGGCAATTCACACCTTTTGGCGTGCTCTTGCCCCTCCAAATGGACGTCATGCATAGAATGGAGATGGGCAATTCACAATTTCCTCCTCTCCTTAAAACATCCGACTTGGTCACATGACAGTGACCTTCATCTAAACCATTCCATTGGTTATCTGGCGGGGACGTGGTAATATAAGTGAATGCTCACAATATCATCATCACAGACCGAGTGTCTTAGTGGACGAATACCAGTCGGCGTTGACGATCCCTATTGGCAAGTGAACTTTACTTTTAGTACCTTTTGCTTGTTTTTAATAAGTCATCTACGCTGCTCAATATATCAAACTGATACATAGCATAAATAGGGTTCTTAAAATATCCAAGTACAAAACTGTGACATCAAGGCCCTTTTCTGTAGCTCCCAGAAACATAGTACAGTGAATCTTTGCCAGTATGCCTTCCACAAATGTATCAGTGGTTTGTCAAAAGTGCAAAACATATTACAAAGGCGTTGCGCATTTAAAAAAATGTTATCCTAACAGTTCTATTGCTGCTATAAACGCCATTCATGCCCAAAATCGCCGCCAAAGCGAGTCTTATACAGCTACTCAGCTTGTATCCATGTCGGCTCTATTGGCATTTTGTGGCACATTCACAACAAACAAAAACCAAATCCCTGAGTACATCAGGGTACTAAAACACTTTGGCCAATTACAATACAAGGAGAGACGCACCTGTATCCTCTCCTTCAAATAATATCCATCAATGCCGAGTACCAGTACTGGTTTAACTGGGTCGACCAGAAATGGTACTCGGTATAATTACCAACACAACTCAGTCAGGGCTAATCTAACTAACTCTGGCTTATATGATAGGTTCCCTGAAAGTGAACCCACACTTTCAGGGTTTAAGCAATATTTAACCAATATTCTTAAAAAAGCAGGGCGTAATGCTGGTGACACATGTCGCCGCGTTTCTAAGTTTTTCTATTTTATCCAAAAACAGGTATTCCCAAATAGTAATATGGCTTGTATCAATTTTGATATATTTGAGCACGTAGATGAAACGTACATCATTTCAACATGGTATTTTCGCAAAACGGGGTTTCTGCAGGTGCCATTTAAAATTACATGGCAGCAGTCAAATCCTTTCTCACCTGCTGTCAAACATATGTTAAAATGTCACCCAGGGTTTGCGATAATTTGCGTAGGTTTACAAGTGCAACAAATTGTTCATATACAGGTGTAAGTAAACAATATAAACGCGAGGAAGCCCATAAATCTGTTGCAGAATTCAGAGATGAAACTAGGCAACCGCCATCCATTTCCGTTGCTCAAAAGGGATACACAGATCCTGCAACCAGACAGGAGGTGAGGGACATCCTGGATCGGGCCAAGGCAGATCGACAATCCGATGACGATCAGCGCCTGGTGATGCGGTACCTGTCCTGTGGGATAATTCAACTTGGTCATGCCCAAAGACCTTCGGTGGCATCCTGTATGAAGTTGGCTGACTTTGACAAGGCACGATCCGTTGGCGACAGGTACCAAATTTCGTTCATGGACCACAAGACGTCCACGAGCTTCCTGGTCAGCATAACCTTGTGCAAAGAGGAGTACAACATGTTCAGGGATTACCGCCGGTATATACGTGGTGACATGCCTGAAGATGTCCAGCCGGAAAAGTCGCCTTTCTTCAGAAAGGTGGACAATGGTACCGAAGTGGGTAACATGTCCCTCGAGTTGGCCCGCTTCCAGGGCGAAAGAGGTTTCTTTAAACCCAACGAGGGAAATAAACGTAGGACATTTACAGCCACGGATGTTCGAAAAGCTTTGGAGACAAGGCAGCATCCCGGTGATGCTGCAAAACGTAAGATGGCCAGTGACTATCTTGCACATGGCCCCAAAACAGTAGATAAATATTATGCTAAAAAAACACCCTTACAGGCTGCTAGTGAGTGTGCATTTGTAGCCGGTGTCATCAAACAAGCAGCTAGTGCATCAAACGACGGTGAGGAACCTGCCTCGGCGTCCATTCCAACAGCGCCCCAGCCCCAGCCCCCAAACTCCAAAGGTAGGGGGAAAGGAAAAGGCAAAAGTAAAGGCAAAGGCAAACTCATCAAGCCCAAAAGGTAATAAATTAGGTGGATAGTGGAAGGTAGGGGGAAGGGAAAGGTAAAAGTAACAGGGAAAGATGATCAAACCATAATCAACTATAGGCTAGAAGTAATAGGATATAACCTGTAATTCCATAACCTAATGTCAGTATTGACGCATTAGGTTTATACAACAGTAGTAAAGGGGTTCGCTGTTCGAACTTGCTGTTGTGGGAATGGTGCAGAAAAATGAAAATGGCACTCTTAAAAGAGCAACCTCCACGTGGTGAGTGCTGGTTAATACGAATAGCTCTTAAATGTTTCTTTGGGGTGGTTCCGACGAGCCATGAATCACCATTGTGCAACTTATTTGATACGTAGACGTACGTGTATTTCGCAACATTTATCATTCATTCATATGACAATAATTTCGTG